GCGTGGGTGAGGGTAGGTGCCAACGTGGAAGCCCATGGAGACGCTGAGTCCGAGTGCAGGAGCCTCCGGGCACGCAGGGTCGTCTGCAGTCCAGGCTCTTAGGTCTTTGCCATCAGGTCTGGGCTCTCCTGTTCACGTGTGTGCGTGCACATCCTCTGCCATGCAAGTGACGGTCACCACTCCAAGCGTGCCTTGTGCTGGCCAGCCCACCACCAGGAAGCTCCCTGCCCCAGGATCCCCAGAGTTCTACCTGGTTTCCTGCTTCAGCCAGTGAGAGAAGGGAGCTAGGAGAACCTGGGCCCTTGGCAATCTGCTGCGTGGGACTCCTGCTACTTCCTGCCTCTCTCCACCCTGGCTCCCCACAGATGCGGCAGGAAGCAGAAAAACAGGGGCTGGATTGAGTGGAGGAGGAGTGAGCAGTGGGGTGGGCAGGGTGTGGAGTGGGCAGGCTGGAAAACCAGGCTTGGAGTGCAGTCTGGGTCACTAGCCTGAGATCAAAGATGGGACCCCAGGTTCAAGTCCAGGGAAGGTGGGAGTGCACTAAGTGAGCATGAAAAAGCAGACCCGTATCTCTGGGTATGGACTTGGATAACCTGAGGCGTGTAATCAGATTCAGATTAAGTGATATTTCCTGAGTTTTCATGGGTGCCTGGGTGTGTTGGCCCTGTGTCCCCAGAGATGAGTAGACTTGTCTCCACCCTGAAGACGTTCTCACTTGGATGAAAGAAAGGAAAGAGAGGCAAAGCCACAAACAAACTTAGGAGTATGATAGTAAGAAATTTGCTTAGTTAAATTCCCCACATAGAACACTGTACAAAAAAGACACCTGCACTCGAATGTTTATAGCAGCACAATTCATAATTGCAAGGCTGTGTAAACAGCCCAAGTGCCCATCAATCCAAGAATGGATTAATAAAATGTGGTATATGTATACCATGGAGTACTATTCAGCTCTAAGAAACAATGGTGATATAGCACATCTTATATTTTCCTGGTTAGAGCTGGAACCCATACTACTAAGTGAAGTATCCCAAGAATGGAAAAACAAGCACCACATATACTCACCAGCAAACTGGTATTAACTGAGCAGCACCTAAGTGGACACATAGGTACTACAGTAATAGGGTATTGGGCAGGTGGGAGGGGGGAGGGGGGTATATACATACATAATGAGTGAGATGGGCACCATCTGGGGGATGGTCATGCTGGAAACTCAGACTTGTGGGGGGAGGGGAGGAAAGGGCATTTAGTGAAACCTTAAAATCTGTGCCCCAATAATATGCCAAAGTAAAATAAATAAATACATAAATAAAATTCCCCACACAGAAGGGAGTGGCCAGCTGCATCTGGGATCAACAGAAGTAGAAAGAGAAGGAGGCATTGGCTGATGGGGAAAGAACTTGCCAGACAGAGGGAACGGCATGTGCAATGGCCCTGGGGTTTGAATCAGCCTGGAGCACCTGGAAAAAAAGTAGCAACTTCTGTATGGTTGGAGTGAAAACAGGAGAGGAGGCCGGTGACGAGGGCAGGGAGCAGATCCAACAAGAACTCAAATGTTAAGGTAAATATTTATTCATTCATTTTGTTTGCTTTTGTTTTTTGTTTTTTGTTGTTGTTTTTTGTTTTATGAGACAGGGCCTTACTTTGTCGCACAGGCTGGAGTGCCGTGGCATCATCGTAGCTCACTGCAGCCTTAAACTCCTGGGCTCAAGTGATCCTCTTGCCTCAGCCTCCCAAGTAACTGGGACTACAGGCGCGTGCCACCACACCCAGCTAATTTTAAATTTTTTTTGTAGAGATGGAGTCTCACTATGTTGCCCAGATTGGTCTCAAAGTCCTGGCTTCAAGTGATCCTCCCACTTTGGCCTCTCAAAGTGCTGGGATTACAGGCGTGAACCACCATGCCCAGCAAAAGCGTGCTTATCTAATGAATATTTTATTTTATTTATTTATTTATTTTTGAGACAGAGTCTCCCTCTGTTGCCCAGGCTAGAGTGCCATGGCATCAGCCTAGCTCACAGCAACCTCAAACTCCTGGGCTCAAGCGATCCTCCTGCCTCAGCCTCCAGAGTAGCTGGGACTACAGGCATGCACCACCATGCCCAGCTAATTTTTTTCTACATATTTTTAGTTGGCCAATTAATTTCTTTCTATTTATAGTAGAGATGGGGTCTCGCTCTTGCTCAGGCTGGTATCAAACTCCTGATCTTGGGCCATCTGCCTGTCTCAGCCTCCCAGAGTGCTAGGATTACAGACGTGAGCCACCGCGCCTGGCCTCTAATCAAAATTTTAAATCAGAGAGAACATAAGGAAAAAATAGAAAGTTGTACAATTCCAATTGTAGGGTATTCAGGGATGCCGTGTGATAATATGTGCAGATAAGTGAATCCACACATCTCAGGGGATGTGTAAGAGGAAAGAGTATGGGGGAAGCAAAGTCTAGCCCCAGAGGCAAAAGTTGAATGTTCCTGTCTGGTCCCCTCTGGACCCCAGCTTCCTCCCCTGCAGTGAGGACAGTGTCAAAGAGCTGAGGTGCTCCCAGGGCCGTGCAGTAAGTGCTACTTCCTTCTCTTTCCTTCCGCTTTGTAACATGTGCTGGACAAATGGGGGTGGATATTGCAGAAAACGGTGAACATGGCAAACAGTTATTGAATGACTCCTATGTGTGAATATGTCTCGGTAGCTAACTCCATCCATGGTGGCCCCAGTGACCCTCACGTCCTGGTTTCCGCACTTTTGTGTTGTCCCCTCCCACACTGAATAGGGTGACCGTGTAGTAAGTAAGGCACAGCAGAAGTGACGGCGTGTGCCCTCCAAGGTGGCGCTACAGAAGGTGTTCTGCCTACTGTCTCTCTTGGGTCGTCCACGCTGGGAGAAGCCGGTAGCCATGTTGTGAGGGTGCTCAAGCTGCACCGTGGTAAAGTCCGAGTGGTGAAGAACTGAGGCCTCGTGCCAACAGCCACTTGGGCGTACCGCCATGGAGGTGGACCCTCCACCTCCAGTATGGCTTCAAATGAAGCAGCCCTCGCTAATGTCTTGACACAAACCTCATCAGAGACTCTGAGCCAGAACCACCCAGCGGGGCCATCACTGCATTCCTGGCACTCGGATCCTGAAAGATAATAAATGCTCATTACTATCTGAGCCTGGGTCCCGTTTATTACACTGCCATAAACATATATGGCCTCAGTATTACTCACCATAACATTTTCAGGTAGAGATCACATTTTCTCTTTCATTTTTGTTTTATTAAGCACAAGTACACAATACAGAGCATTCTACGTAACTCACTCCAGAGCCTACTGGCAGTGGAAGGTGAGCATCACTGAGCTATTTTTTCATAAATCAGGAAGACGTTTCCTAGGTCAATCACTGTTCTCCAAACCCTTTGAAACATAGTAACGATTAACCCCAGAGAGGCCCCGACTCCTTCCCCCTTCCAAGTACTAACCAGGCCCAACCCTGCTTAGTTTCTGGGATCAGACAAGATCCGGTGTGTTCAGGATGGAATGGCTGTGGACCCCTACCTCCTTCTGTCAGACTCCACTGACCTGACCAGTAGGCAACGTATTTTCCAGTTGGGGACCCGGAGATATCTATGTTTCCAGAACTGGCCAGAAGCAGGTAGCTGCTTTGTATCTGAGGTGGATAATATTTGAAGTCTGTTTTAAAAACAAAGAGACAGGCTGAGGACGGTGGCTCACGTCTGTAATCCTAGTACTTTGGGAGTACTTTGAGGTCAGGAGTTCAAAACCAGCCTGATCAAGAGCAAGACCCTGTCTCTACTAAAAATAGAAAGAAATTAATTGGCCAACTAAAAATATATAGAAAAAATTAGCCAGGTATGGTGGCACATGCCTGTAGTCCCAGCTATTCGGGAGGCTGAGGCAGGACGATCGCTTGAGCCCAGGAGTTTGAGGTTGCTGTGAGCTAGGCTGATGCCACTGCACCCTAGCCCGGGCAACAGAGTGAGACTCTGTCTAAAATAAATAAATAAATAAATAAAATAAGAACAAAGAGACAGAGACATAGGGAGGGTGAATGATTTGCTCAAGATCACATAAATAATAAAAAAAACCCACAGGCATATGACTGCAGGAGCTGTATTCTTTTTAGAGACAGAGTCTTGCTCTGTCGCCCGGGCTAGAGTACCGTGGCCTCATCATAGCTCACAGCAACCTCAAACTCCTGGCCTCAAGTGATCCTCCTGCCTCAGCCTCCCAGAGTGCTGGGATTACGGGAGTGAGCCACTGTGCCCGGCCGGGATCTGTACCCTTAACTTCCGTAGTATGTGTGAAGTTGAGGCAGCCTGGGTCATGCGTAATCAGTAAGGCAACAAAAACACCCTGAAAAGTCCTAGAGCCAGGGCCGTGCCTGAGGTCCAGCGATGAACCAAAAATAAACATGACTAACACTTACTGAGTGTCTAAAACGGGCTGGGCCTCGTCCTCTGACGCTCACATACCAGCTCGCTTGCTCCTTGCAGCGTTTACAAGGGGCTGTGCCTGTCTTTACAGGTGAGGGATCTGAGTCACTGTGAATTTAAGTCACTTGCTCAAGGTCCCAGGTAGAAGGTGGCAAGGTGGATATGCAAATACAGTCTGCTGTGTGCCACAGGGACAGACACAGCACGGGGCCCTGGCGGGGTAAGAAGGCCTGTGAGGCAGCCAGGGGACATCTGGGCGGAACCCTAGTGGCGGAGGAGAGCAGGCTCTGGGAGAAGGCAGGCATGGGCGCCCGGCAGGAGACGGCGGGGACGTGGGACCCACTGGGTGCTGCTGAGCGAGCTCTCTTGGGACGATCTGGGTGGGCTGGGGGCCCAGGATGCAGGCAGGGCTGGAAGGGGTGGGAGGAGTCTGCAATGACCTGGCAAGAGGCAGAGGGGAGGAAGGAAGGTGAGGGCCCTGGCAGGGCTGGGAGCTGGGCTCTCAGGCCTGAAGCCTCCTCCACTTCCTCCTCCTCCCCTCCCCGCCCTGCCCTCTGGCCTCACCAGTGGGCTGGGAAAGGGGAAATTCTTGGGGTTAAAGTCCAGCAGGTGGAAGGACCAGGCCTGGGACTCCTGGGTCCCTCGGCAGTGTGTGGAGACATGGCCAGGGCTGGCGGGGGCCTCGGGGCCTGGGGGAGCCTGGTGCTGCTGGTAAGTGCCCGCCCAGGCCGGAGTCAGATCTGAGGGAGGCATGGCCTTGGAGGGGGACGCCTGAGTCTGAGGAGTGAGGGAGAGGGCTCCGAAGGCCGTAGGGCTGGTGAGTCCCGGAGAATAGGAGACTTCTGGTTTGGGAGGCGGTGGGGTGGTCTGACAGCTACACCTGTGCTCTTAGGAAACGCAAGGTCTGCTCAGAGAAGATGCTGACTTCAGGCAAGACAAGTTCTGCTTTGGAACACCCAAGACCCCAGCCCTCCTTGTCACAGCCAGGGAACCCCCAGCCCCTCCTCCCTCAGACCCAGGGGTTCCCCCCAGCCTCTCCTCCCTCAGACCCAGGGGTCCCTGCAGCCCCTCTTCCTTTAGACCCAGGGATCCCCAGTCCCTCCTCCCTCACAACCAGGAGGCCCCCCAGCCCCTGTTCCTTTAGAGCCAGGGGTCCCCTGCCCCTCCTCCCTCAGACTCAGGGGTCCAGTTACCCAGCCCCTCCTCCCTCACACCCAGGGGTTCCCCGAGCCCCTCCTCCCTCACAGCAAGGCCCCCCCCAGCCCCTTTTCCTTTAGACCCTGGAGTCCCCAGCCCCTACTCCCTCAGACCCAGGGGTCCCTCCAGTCCCTCCCCCCTCACACCCAGGGGTCCCCAGCCTCAGTCTTTTTCTCTCTCCTCAGTCTGCTGATTGCTCCCAGCCCCCAGTTTCTCCAAGGCTGTATTTTTTGGGAAACGAAACCATTAAGTTATCTCTGGGCCTTATCGGTTAGAGCCAAACCCAACTGCTGGGTCCCTGGAGCTCCGCCCCTAACCTCTCCCTGTCCTCCTCCCCCAGGAACCAGGGACAGTGGGGTGACCTTTGTCACAGCCCAGCGCCACTGTCTGCCTCCTCTCCCCCTGCAGGGCAGACTCGGGGTGGGGGGGCCGGGACAGAAGCTGTGAGAGTGACTGCCCCACCCAGCCCCAGTGGTACTCTGGTCAAGGGAGGTGAGGCTCAGAGGCTGATTCTTTCTTCTCTGGGTCTTGCCAGGGCCTGTGCAGCTGGACAGGGGCCAGGGCAGCCGGTGAGTGACTCCTGCCCAATCCATTGCCCACTCAGATGGGTGGAAACTCAGTGCCCATGAGCCTCTGGGTGTGGGGTGCCCCCGGGGGTCCGGTCGGTGGTTGTGGGAGGCCCATGAGAGCTGTTGCTTCTAGACTTGGGGCAAGAGCTCAGGGTGGGGTGAGGGACAGTTCTGATCTGCCCCCTTCTAACACGGGACCCTCCTTCCCAATTCTCAGCCCCCGACCCGGTGAGGAACCTGAGAGTAGCGGCTCAGACCAACAGCTCCATCTCCCTGAGCTGGGACGTCCCTGACAGCACAGCCACGCAGAACTACAGCTACTGGGTCTGGTGCACTGGAAATGATGACAGAAATGAGACCCGAATCACAACAGACACCAATGTCACAGTGGACAGACTTGAACCCGGGTCTTCCTATGCATGTTCTGTACGGGTGGAAGCGGAGGGACTCCTTAGCACCATAGAGAGTCTCAATACCACCACGGGTGAGAAGCAGCTTCAATATTTCTTAAAGGGACGTGGGACTGGCCATGGGGGCCACTCCTGCAATCCCAGCACAGTGGGAGGAGGATCGCTTGAGCACCCGAGTTCGAGGCTGCAGTGAGCTATTCTGACGCCACTGTACTCCAGCCTGGGTGACAGAGCAAGAAGCTGTCACTAAAAATATAAGGAGAGGGAGGTGGGAGGGGATGGGGGAAAACTGACAGGAGAACTTGGCAGCTCATCCACCAGAAATATAATGAAAACCTCACACGTAAACTTCAATATTCTATCAATCAGTCACATCAAGATAGCAAAAAGAAACGGGTAACATTAATTATCATGAGATAGCTTCAGGAGCCCAGTAGATCCAATGTGTTATCATTTTGACATGTAATCAATACCAGAAAAGGATCAACAGCAGAGCTGATGTTCTTAATTTCATACCAATTCTTCAAAACTTGGTGTGCATCTTGCACTGACGGCACAATCTCCGTTCCCACAACCCACAACAGGAGAGCTGAAGGGTCGAACCTATGAGAGAAGGTGTCAGTTCCTCTGGCCTCCGCTCTGGGCACAGTGGGAGGGGAAATGTCCTTAGGACTGACTCACTGGTTCAGACCTGCAGCTATGTGCAGGAGAGACTGGCCATATCCCATGGGTATATTGGGTCAGAAGATAAGAAACCAGTCCCCACAGGCCCTACAGCCTCTGAGTCAGGGTGTGGGAGGTGCTTTCTAGACCATAGTACTACGGGGAGGCTTTCTTAGTGACCAGGGATGTACAAGGACCAAGGCATGCTGCCTGAGCTCTAGAGGATTATGTGCTATGGAATGTGGATACTCTGACCCTCTGACTCTTTTCCTAATGCCAAAGTAGCACATCATCTTCCGGATGGATGCTCAGACCATCGTCTCTCTCCCCCTGACTTGGGTAGCTCTCCTGTTCTACATCTCTGTGGCCAATATGGTAGCCACTAGCCACACGTGGCTACTTAAATTTAAGTCTGTCTAAATTGCATTGCATTGCAAATGCTATGGCATGTTTCATGTACCTTAATGAGGGGTTCCACGTCCCCCTCCATCCTCCACTGGTGTTGTACCCACCGTGTTGGAAGGTGGGAGAGCACTTCCATCATGGCAGAAGTTCAGTTGGAAAGTGCTGGCCCAGACCCTTGCTACTGAAAGTATGGTCCACGTGTGGGCAGCTTCGGTGGCCCTCTAGAGCTGAATGGAAGTGCAGAATCCCAGTCTCATCCCAGACCTACTGACTCAGAACCTGCATTTTAACAAGATTCGTAGTGACATGTATGGACATTCGAGTGTGAGAAGCACTGGTCTAGGCCACACGTCCCACATCCACTGGGACCAGCAGTTGACGGAGAACTGGGAACTGTGATGATCAAATGGCCACTGCATGTCCCCTCTCTTTCCTGTACCCCTGTTCAATTTGGATCTTCTTCTTAATTTCTCAGCTCCCAACCCAGTGAGGAACCTGAGAGTGGAGAATCAGACCAACAGTTCCATCTCCCTGAGCTGGGAGGTCCCCGAGGGCCCCGAGGCACAGAACTACACCTACTGGGTCCAGTGCACTGGAGATGATGGCAAAAATGAGACCCAAAACATGACAAGTGCCAGTTACACAGTGGGTGGACTTACATCGACGTCCTTGTATGAATTTTCTGTGTGGGCCGAGAAGGATGGAGTACCTGGCTCCAAAGTGACCCTCAAGGCAGCCACAGGTAAGAAGGACCCACATCCCTTCCCTGTTCTGTTCCCTTTTGCTCTTCATGAAGAAGGTGGTAGGACATGGCTGAGAAACTATGAGAGAAGGTGTCAGTTCCTCTGGCCTCCGCTCTGGGCACAGTGGGAGGCGAAATGTCATTAGGACCAACTCACTGGGCCGGACCTGCAGCGATCTGCAGAAGAAACCGGATATATCCCAGGGATATCTTGGTTCGGGAGATAAGAAACCAGTGTCCAAGGCCCTCCTGCCTCCGAGTTAGGGCCTCCAAGTTAGGGCCTCTGTGGGCCTCCAAGGCCCACACCTCTGGTGTGGGAGGTGCTTTCTAGACCATAGTATTAGAGTGAGTCTTTCTCAGTGACCAGGGATGTACAGGGACCAAGGCATGCTGCCTGAGCTCTAGAAGATTATGTGCTATGGAATGTGGATACTCTGACTCTCTGACTCTTTTCCTAATGCCAAAGTAGTACATGGTCTTCAGGGTGGACGCTCAGACCATCGTCTCTCTCCCCCCGACTTGGGTAGCTCTCCTGTTCTACATCTCTGTGGCCAATCTGGTAGCCACTAGCCGCATGTGGCTAATTAAATTTAAGTCTGTCCAAATTGCATTGCATTGCAAATTCCATGACATATTTCACGTACCTTAATGAGGTACTCCCTTTCCCCCCTCCATCCTCCACTGGTGTTGTACCCACCATGTTGGAAGGAGGGAGAGCACTTCCATCATGGCAGAAGTTCAGTTGGAAAGTGCTGGCCCAGACCCTTGCTACTGAAAGTATGGTCCATGTGTGGGCAGCATCGGTGGCCCTCTAGAGCTGATGGGAAGTGCAGAATCCCAGTCTCATCCCAGACCTACTGACTCAGAACCTGCATTTTAACAAGATTCCTAGTGACATGTGTGCACATTGGAGTGTGAGAAGCACTGGTCTAGGCCACACGCCCCACATCCACGGGACCAGCAGTTGAGGGAGAACTGGGAACTGTGATGATCAAAATGGCCGCTGCATGTCCCCTCTCTTTCCTGTACCCCTGTTCAATTTGGATCTTCTTCCTAATTTCTCAGCTCCCAACCCAGTGAGAAACTTGAGAGTGGAGAATCAGAACACCAGCTCCATCTCTCTGAGCTGGGACGTCCCCGAGGGCCCCGAGGCACGGAACTACATCTACTGGGTCCAGTGCACTGGAGATGATGACAGAAATGAGACCCGAAACACAACAGACACCTGGGTCACAGTGGACGGACTTGAACCCGGGTCTTCCTACGCATGTTCTGTACGGGTGGAAGCGGAGGGACTCCTTAGCACCATAGAGAGTCTCAATACCACCACGGGTGAGAAGCAGCTTCAATATTTCTTAAAGGGACGTGGGACTGGCCATGGGGGCCACTCCTGCAATCCCAGCACGGTGGGAGGAGGATCGCTTGAGTACCTGGGTTCCAGGCTGCAGTGAGCTATTCTGACGCCACTGCACTCCAGCCTGGGTGACAGAGCAAGAAGCTGTCTCTAAAAATATAAGGAGAGGGAGATGGGAAGGGATGGGGGAGAACTGACAGGAGAACTTGGCAGCTCATCCAGCAGAAATATCATGAAATGCTCACACGTAAACTTCAATATTCTATCAATCAGTGATATCAAGATAGCAAAAGAAACGGGTGAAATTAATTATCATGAGATAGTTTCAGGAACCCAGTAGAACCCAATGTCTTATCATTTTGACATGTAATCAATACTAGAAAAGGATCAACAGCAGAGCTGACTTTCTTAATTTCATGCCAATTCTTCAAAACTTGGTGTGCATCTTGCACTGACGGCACAATCTCAGTTCCCACGACCCACATCACGAGAGCTCAAGGGTCACGTGGAACTTGTGGCGGCCACAGTGGAACAGTGGAGGGCGCAGTTCTGGGCCATCCTGCCTGTCCCTGCTGGGCCCAGTGGTTAAGGAAGGCCTGGAAAATTTAAGTACCGAAAACTGCGGCCGATTTCTCCTCCTGTCCCGATTTTCAGCTCCCAACCCAGTGAGGAACCTGAGTGTGGTGGGTCAGACCAACAGCTCCATCTCCCTGAGCTGGGACGTCCCCGAGGGCCCCGAGGCACAGAGCTACACCTACTGGGTCCAGTGCACTGGAGATGATGGCAAAAATGAGACCCGAAACATGACAAGTACCAGTATCACAGTGGGTGGACTTACATCAGCGTCCTTATATGAATTTTCTGTGTGGGCGGAGAAGGATGGAGTAGCTGGCTCCAAAGTGACCCTCAAGGCAGCCACAGGTGAGAAGGACCCACATCCCTTCCCTGTTCTGTTCCCTTTTGCTCTTCATGAAGAACGTGGTAGGACATGGCTGAAAACCTATGAGAGAAGGTGTCAGTTCCTCTGGCCTCCGCTCGGGGCACAGTGGGAGGCGAAATGTCATTAGGACCAACTCACTGGGCCGGACCTGCAGCGATCTGCAGAAGAAACCGGCCATATCCCAGGGATATCTTGGTTCAGGAGATAAGACACCAGTGTCCAAGGCCCTCCTGCCTCTGAGTTAGGGCCTCTGTGGGCCTCCAAGGCCCACACCTCTGGTGTGGGAGGTGCTTTATAGACCATAGTACTACGGGGAGGCTTTCTTAGTGACCAGGGATGTACAGGGACCAAGGCACGCTGCCTGAGCTCTAGAAGATTATGTGCTATGGAATGTGGATACTCTGATCCTCTGACTCTTTTCCTAATGCCAAAGTAGCACATCGTCTTCAGGATGGACGCTCAGACCATCATCTCTCTCCCCCTGACTAGGGTAGCTCTCCTGTTCTACATCTTTGTGGCCAATATGGTAGCCACTAGCCACACGTGGCTACTTAAATTTAAGTCTGTCCAAATTGCATTGCATTGCAAATGCTATGGCATGTTTCATGTACCTTAATGAGGGGCTCCACGTCCCCCTCCATCCTCCACTGGTGTTGTACCCACCGTGTTGGAAGGTGGGAGAGCACTTCCATCATGGCAGAAATTCAGTTGGAAAATGCTGGCCCAGACCCTTGCTACTGAGAGTATGGTCCACGTGTGGGCAGCTTCGGTGGCCCTCTAGAGCTGAATGGAAGTGCAGAATCCCAGTCTCATCCCAGATCTACTGACTCAGAACCTGCATTTTAACAAGATTCGTAGTGCCGTGTATGCACATTCGAGTGTGAGAAGCACTGGTCTAGGCCACACGCCCCACATCCACGGGACCAGCAGTTGAGGGAGAACTGGGAACTGTGACGATCAAATGGCCACTGCATTCCTCTCTTTCCTGTACCCCTGTTAAATTTGAATCTTCTTCCTAATTTCTCAGCTCCCAACCCAGTGAGGAACTTGAGAGTGGAGAATCAGACCAACAGCTCCATCTCCCTGAGCTGGGATGTCCCCGAGGGCCCCGAGGCACAGAGCTACACCTACTGGGTCCAGTGCACTGGAGATGATGACAGAAATGAGACCCGAATCACAACAGACACCTGGGTCACAGTGGACGGACTTGAACCCGGGTCTTCCTATGCATGTTCTGTACGGGTGGAAGCGGAGGGACTCCTTAGCACCATAGAGAGTCTCAATACCACCACGGGTGAGAAGCAGCTTCAATATTTCTTCAAGGGACGTGGGACTGGCCATGGGGGCCACTCCTGCAATCCCGGCACAGTGGAAGGAGGATCGCTTGAGCACCCGAGTTTGAGGCTGCAGTGAGCTATTCTGACACCACTGCACTCCAGCCTGGGTGACAGAGCAAGAAGCTGTCACTAAAAATATAAGGAGAGGGAGATGGGAGGGGATGGGGGAGAACTGACAGGAGAACTTGGCAGCTCATCCAGCAGAAATATCATGAAAACCTCACACGTAAACTTCAATATTCTATCAATCAATCACATCATGATAGCAAAAAGAAACGGGTGAAATTAATAGTCATTAGATAGTTTCAGGAGCCCAGTAGATCCAATGTGTTATTATTTTGACATGTAATCAATACTAGAAAAGGATCAACAGCAGAGCTGACTTTCTTAATTTCATGCCAATTCTTCAAAACTTGGTGTGCATCTTGCACTGACGGCACAATCTCAGTTCCCACGACCCACATCACGAGAGCTCAAGGGTCACGTGGAACTTGTGGCGGCCACAGTGGAACAGTGGAGGGCGCAGTTCTGGGCCATTCTGCCTGTCCCTGCTGGACCCAGTGGTTAAGGAAGGCCTGGAAAATTTCAGTACCGAAAACTGCGGCCGATTTCTCCTCCTGTCCCGATTTTCAGAACCCAACCCAGTGAGGAACCTGAGTGTGGTGGCTCAGACCAACAGCTCCATCTCCCTGAGCTGGGACGTCCCCGAGGGCCCCGAGACACAGAGCTACACCTACTGGGTCCAGTGCACTGGAGATGATGGCAAAAGTGAGACCCGAAACATGACAAGTACCAGTGACACAGTGGGTGGACTTACATCAGCGTCCTTATATGAATTTTCTGTGTGGGCGGAGAAGGATGGAGTACCTGGCTCCAAAGTGACCCTCAAGGCAGCCACAGGTGAGAAGGACCCACATCCCTTCCCTGTTCTGTTCCCTTTTGCTCTTCATGAAGAAGGTGGTAGGACATGGCTGAAAACCTATGAGAGAAGGTGTCAGTTCCTCTGGCCTCCGCTCTGGGCACAGTGGGAGGGGAAATGTCCTTAGGACCAACTCACTTGGTCAGACCTACAGCGATCTGTAGAAGAAACCGGCCATATCCCAGGGATATCTTGGTTCAGGAGATAAGACACCAGTGTCCAAGGCCCTCTGCCTCTGAGTTAGGGCCTCCAAGTTAGGGCCTCTGTGGGCCTCCAAGGCCCACACCTCTGGTGTGGGAGGTGCTTTATAGACCATAGTATTAGGGTGAGTCTTTCTTAGTGACCAGGGATGTACAGGGACCAAGGCATGCTGCCTGAGCTCTAGAAGATTATGTGCTATGGAATGTGGATACTCTGATCCTCTGACTCTTTTCCTAATGCCAAAGTAGCACATCGTCTTCAGGATGGACGCTCAGACCATCGTCTCTCTCCCCCTGACTTGGGTAGCTCTCCTGTTCTACATCTCTGTGGCCAATCTGGTAGCCACTAGCCACATGTGGCTACTTAAATTTAAGTCTGTCCAAATTGCATTGCATTGCAAATGCTATGGCATAATTCACGTACCTTAATGAGGGGCTCCACGTCCCCCTCCATCCTCCACTGGTGTTATACCCACCGTGTTGGAAGGTGGGAGAGCACTTCCATCATGGCAGCAGTTCAGTTGCAAAGTGCTGGCCCAGACCCTTGCTACTGAAAGTATGGTCCCCATGTAGGCAGCTTCGGTGGCCCTCTAGAGCTGATGGGAAGTGCAGAATCCCAGTCTCATCCCAGACTTACTGACTCAGAACCTTCATTTTAACAAGATTCCTAGTGACGTGTGTGCACATTGGAGTGTGAGAAGCACTGGTCTAGGCCACACCCCTACATCCACTGGGACCAGCAGTTGAGGGAGAACTGGGAACTGTGATGCTCAAAATGGCCCTGCATGTCCCCTCTCTTTCCTGTACCCCTGTTCAATTTGGATCTTCTTCCTAATTTCTCAGCTCCCAACCCAGTGAGGAACTTGAGAGTGGAGAAACAGAACACCAGCTCCATCTCCCTGAGCTGGGACGTCCCCGATGGCCCTAAGGCACAGAGTTACACCTACTGGGTCCAGTGCACTGGAAATGATGACAGAAATGAGACCCAAAACACAACAGACACCTGGGTCACAGTGGACGGACTTGAACCCGGGTCTTCCTAGGAGGGACTCCTTAGCACCATAGAGAGTCTCAGTACCGCCACGGGTGAGAAGCAGCTTCAATATTTCTTAAAGGGACGTGGGACTGGCCATGGGGGCCACTCCTGCAATCCCAGCACGGTGGGAGGAGGATCGCTTGAGTACCTGAGTTCGAGGCTGCAGTGAGCTACTATGATGGCACTGCACTCCACCCTGGTGACAGAGCAAGATGCTAACTCTAAAAATATAAGGAGAAGGAGATGGGAGGGGATGGGGGAGAACTGACAGGAGAACTTGGCAGCTCATCCAGCAGAAATATCATGAAATGCTGACACATAAACTTCAATATTCTATCAATCAGTGACATCAAGATAGCAAAAGAAACGGGTGAAATTAATTATCATGAGATAGTTTCAGGAACCCAGTAGATCCAATGTGTTATCATTTTGACATGTAATCCATACTAGAAAAGGATCAACAGCAGAGCTGACTTTCTTAATTTCATACCAATTCTTCAAAACTTGGTGTGCATCTTGCACTTATGGTACAATTACACTTCCCACAACCCACATCACAAGAGCTCAAGGGTCACGTGGAACTTGTGGCGGCCACAGTGGAACAGTGGAGGGCGCAGTTCTGGGCCATCCTGCCTGCCCCTGCTGGGTCCAGTGGTTAAGGAAGGCCTGGAAAATTTCAGGATCAAAAACTACAGCCGATTGCCTTTCCCTAATTCCAAAATAGTACATCATCCTCAGGAGGGACGCTCAGACCATCATCCCTCTCACCCTGACTTGGGTAGCTCTCCTGTTCTACATCTCTGTGACCAGTATGGTAGCCACTAGCCATATGTGGCTACTTAAATTTAAGTCCATGCAAATTTCATAACGTTGCAAATTCCGTGGCATATTTCACGTACCTTAATGAGGGGCTCCCCATCCCCCCTCCATCCTCCACTGGTGTTGTACCCACTGTGTTGGAAGGTGGGAGAGCACTTCCATCATGGCAGCAGTTCAGTTGGAAAGTGCTGGCCCAGACCCTTGCTACTGAGAGTATGGTCCCCATGTGGGCAGCATCGGTGGCCCTCTAGAGCTGATTGGAAGTGCAGAATCCCAGTCTCATCCCAGACCTACTGACTCAGAACCGGCATCTTAACAAGATTCCTAGTGACTAGTGTGCACATTCGAGTGTGAGAAGCACTGGTCTAGGCCACACGCCCCACATCCACTGGGACCAGCAGTTGAGGGAGAACTGGGAACTGTGATGATCAAAAATGGCCACTGCATGTCCCCTGTCTTTCCTGTACCCTTGTTCAATTTGGATCTTCTTCCTTTCTCAGCTCCCAACCTAGTGAGGAACCTGAGTGTGGTGGCTCAGACCAACAGCTCCATCTCTCTGAGCTGGGACGTCCCCGAGGGCCCCGAGGCACAGCGCTACACCTACTGGGTCCAGTGCACTGGAGATGACGGCAAAAATGAGACCCGAAACATGACAAGTACCAGTGACACAGTGGGTGGACTTACATCAGCGTCCTTGTATGAATTTACTGTGTGGGCGGAGAAGGATGGAGTACCTGGCTCCAAAGTGACCCTCAAGGCGGCCACAGGTGAGAAGGACCCACATCCCTTCCCTGTTCTGTTCCCTTTTGCTCTTCATGAAGAAGGTGGTAGGACATGGCTCAAAATATGAGAGAAGGTGTCAGTTCCTCTGGCCTCCGCTCTGGGCACAGTGGGAGGGGAAATGTCCTTAGGACCAACTCACTTGGTCAGACCTACAGCGATCTGTAGAAGAAACCGGCCATATCCCAGGGATATCTTGGTTCAGGAGATAAGACACCAGTGTCCAAGGCCCTCTGCCTCTGAGTTAGGGCCTCCAAGTTAGGGCCTCTGTGGGCCTCCAAGGCCCACACCTCTGGTGTGGGAGGTGCTTTATAGACCATAGTATTAGGGTGAGTCTTTCTTAGTGACCAGGGATGTACAGGGACCAAGGCATGCTGCCTGAGCTCTAGAAGATTATGTGCTATGGAATGTGGATACTCTGATCCTCTGACTCTTTTCCTAATGCCAAAGTAGCACATCGTCTTCAGGATGGACGCTCAGACCATCGTCTCTCTCCCCCTGACTTGGGTAGCTCTCCTGTTCTACATCTTTGTGGCCAATATGGTAGCCACTAGCCACACGTGGCTACTTAAATTTAAGTCTGTCCAAATTGCATTGCATTGCAAATGCTATGGCATGTTTCATGTACCTTAATGAGGGGCTCCACGTCCCCCTCCATCCTCCACTGGTGTTGTACCCACCGTGTTGGAAGGTGGGAGAGCACTTCCATCATGGCAGAAATTCAGTTGGAAAATGCTGGCCCAGACCCTTGCTACTGAGAGTATGGTCCACGTGTGGGCAGCTTCGGTGGCCCTCTAGAGCTGAATGGAAGTGCAGAATCCCAGTCTCATCCCAGATCTACTGACTCAGAACCTGCATTTTAACAAGATTCGTAGTGCCGTGTATGCACATTCGAGTGTGAGAAGCACTGGTCTAGGCCACACGCCCCACATCCACGGGACCAGCAGTTGAGGGAGAACTGGGAACTGTGACGATCAAATGGCCACTGCATTCCTCTCTTTCCTGTACCCCTGTTAAATTTGAATCTTCTTCCTAATTTCTCAGCTCCCAACCCAGTGAGGAACTTGAGAGTGGAGAATCAGACCAACAGCTCCATCTCCCTGAGCTGGGACGTCCCCGAGGGCCCCGAGGCACAGAGCTACACCTACTGGGTCCAGTGCACTGGAGATGATGACAGAAATGAGACCCGAATCACAACAGACACCTGGGTCACAGTGGACGGACTTGAACCCGGGTCTTCCTATGCATGTTCTGTACGGGTGGAAGCGGAGGGACTCCTTAGCACCATAGAGAGTCTCAGTACCGCCACGGGTGAGAAGCAGCTTCAATATTTCTTAAAGGGACGTGGGACTGGCCATGGGGGCCACTCCTGCAATCCCAGCACGGTGGGAGGAGGATCGCTTGAGTACCTGGGTTCCAGGCTGCAGTGAGCTATTCTGACGCCACTGCACTCCAGCCTGGGTGACAGAGCAAGAAGCTGTCTCTAAAAATATAAGGAGAGGGAGATGGGAAGGGATGGGGGAGAACTGACAGGAGAACTTGGCAGCTCATCCAGCAGAAATATCATGAAATGCTCACACGTAAACTTCAATATTCTATCAATCAGTGATATCAAGATAGCAAAAGAAACGGGTGAAATTAATTATCATGAGATAGTTTCAGGAACCCAGTAGAACCCAATGTCTTATCATTTTGACATGTAATCAATACTAGAAAAGGATCAACAGCAGAGCTGACTTTCTTAATTTCATACCAATTCTTCAAAACTTGGTGTGCATCTTGCACTGACGGCACAATCTCAGTTCCCACGACCCACATCATGAGAACTCAAGGGTCATGTGGAACTTGTGGCGGACACAGTGGAAAAGTGCAAGGCGCAGTTTTGGGCCATCCTGCCTGCCCCTGCTGGGCCCAGTGGTTAAGGAAGGCCTGGAAAATTTCAGGATCAAAAACTACGGCCGAATTCCTTTCCCTAATTCCAAAATAGTACATCATCCTCTCGATGGACGCTCAGACCATCATCTCTCTCACCCTGACTTGGGTAGCTCTCCTGTTCTACATCTCTGTGGCCAGTATGGTAGCCACTAGCCACATGTGGCTACTTAAATTTAAGTCCATCCAAATTTCATAACATTGCAAATTCCGTGGCATATTTCACGTACCTTAATGAGGGGCTCCCCATCCCCCCTCCATCCTCCACTGGTGATGTACCCACCATGTTGGAAGGTGGGAGAGCACTTCCATCATGGCAGAAGTTCAGCTGGAAAGTGCTGGCCCAGACCCTTGCTACTGAAAGTATGGTGCACGTGTGGGCAGCATCGGTGGCCCTCTAGAGCTGATGGGAAGTCCAGAATTCCAGCCTCATCCCAGACCTACTGACTCAGAACCTGCATTTTAACAAGATTCCTAGTGACATGTGTGCACATTTGAGTGTGAGAAGCACTGGTCTAGACCACACGCCCCACATCCACTGTGACCAGCAGTTGACGGAGAACTGGGAACTGTGATGATCAAAATGGCCACTGCATGTCCCCTGTCTTTCCTGTACCTTGTTCAATTTGGATTTCTTCCTTTCTCAGCTCCCACCTACGTGAGGAACCTGAGTGTGGTGGCTCAGACCAACAGCCTCCATCTCTCTGAGCTGGGACGTCCCGGAGGCCCCGAGGCACAGCGTGCACCTACTGGGTCCAGTGCACTGGAGATGACGGCAAAAAATGAGACCGAAACTGACAAGTACCAGGACACAGTGGGTGGACTTACATCAGCGGTCCTTGTATGAATTTACTGTGTGGGCGGAGAAGGATGGAGTACCTGGCTCCAAGTGACCCTCAGGGCGGCCACCAGTGAGAAGACCCCATCCCTTCCCTGTTCTGTTCCCTTTTGCTCTTCATGAAGAAGGTGGTAGGACATGGCTCAAAATATGAGAGAAGGTGTCAGTTCCTCTGGACTCCCCTCTGGGCACAATGGGAGGTGAAATGTCATTAGGACCAACTCACTGGGTCAGAGTGCAGTGATCTGTAGGAGAGACTGGCCATATCCCAGGAATATTGGTTCAGGAGATAAGAAACCAGTGTCCACAGGCCCTCCTGCCTCCATGTTAGGGTGTGGGAGATGCTTTCTAGACCATAGTACTAGGGTGAGTCTTTCTCAGTGACCAGGGATGTACAGGGACCAAGGCATGCTGCCTGAGCTCTAGGGGATTATGTGCTATGGAATGTGGATACTCTGACCCTCTGACTTTTTTCCTAAATCCAAAATAGTACATCATCGTCAGGATGGACGCTCAGACCATCATCCCTCTCACCCTGACTTGGGTAGCTCTCCTGTTCTACATCTCTGTGACCAGTATGGTAGCTACTAGCCATATGTGGCTACTAAATTTAAGTCCATCCAAATTTCATAACATTGCAAATTCCGTGGCATATTTCATGTACCTTAATGAGGGGCTCCCCATCCCCCCACCATCCTCCACTGGTGTTGTACCCACTGTGTTGGAAGGAGGGAGAGCACTTCCATCATGACAGAATTTGAGCTGGAAAGTGCTGGCCCAGACCCTTGCTACTGAAAGTATGGTCCCCATGTGGGCAGCTTCGGTGGCCCTCTAGAGCTGATGGGAAGTGCAGAATCCCAGTCTCATCCCAGACCTACTGACTCAGAACCTGCATTTTAACAAGATTCCTAGTGACATGTGTGCACATTCGAGTGTGAGAAGCACTGGTCTAGACCACACGCCCCACATCCACTGTGACCAGCAGTTGACGGAGAACTGGGAACTGTGATGATCAAAATGGCCCTGCATGTCCCCTCTCTTTCCTGTACCCCTGTTCAATCTGGATCTTCCTCCTATTTTCTCAGCTCCCAACCCAGTGAGGAACCTGATAGTGGAGGCTCAGACCAACAGCTCCATCTCCCTGAGCTGGGACGTCCCTGAGGGCCCCGAGGCACAGAGCTACACTTACTGGGTCCAGCGCACTGGAGACGGTGGCAGAAATGAATTTGGAAACACAACAAACAACAGGGTCACAGTGGACGGACTTGAACCAGGATCCTCGTATGAATTCCAGGTGTGGGTGGAGAAGAATGGAGTGCGTAGCTCCGGGCAGAGTCTCAGCAGCTCCACAGGTGAGAGGCCTCAGTGCCCACACTCTGTTCTGGTGAGAGGGTAAGAACTGGCAAAGATGCTTTGACCCTTTAATCCCTAGTCTCCCCAGCTTCATTGAGCCAGGATGCCCCCCTACCTGAGTCCAGAAGAGACACATAGCTGCACCTGGGATGGGCTTTGCTCTGCAGACAGAAGTGGGGAGCCTATTCAGACGCCTCCTGCCGCTGGGCACGGGACTACAAGAGCCAGGCCATTCGAGGTCCCATCGCTCGGAAGTGTCTCTTAACATGCGGGGCTGCTAATGGGCAGGGTATTTCACTGTATTCTGGACTCTTGGGGACTGGGGGAAAAGGAAATCCTGACTCTCTTCTCCTTCCACCAGTCCCCAACACTGTGACAAGTCTCAGTGTGCAGGACCAGACCAAAAACTCCATCACCTTGAGCTGGGCAGCTCCCGAGGGCCCAGGTCATTTTATCTACACCTACTGGGTCTCATGGGTCGACGAGGGCATTATTGACCCTAGGAGGCAGAACACCTTAGACACTGGAATCACCCTAAAGGATTGGAATCTGGGAGCCTGTACAACCTCACCATCTGGGTGTAGGGGAAGGAAGTCAGAGGCTATCCCTGGACCCTTGGTGTAGCAACCGGTGTGACACAATCTGGCTCTGGACATAATGGGATGGAGCGAGAAAAAAGATCAAGGGCCTTTGGGAGCTTCTTGGGCGATGATGGGTGCCCATTGACCCTTTCCAACCTCACTGTAGCTTGAACTTGTAGGTCCCGTTCCTGGGGGCATCATCCCTCTGCAACTAGGGCTTTCTAAACTATGGGGTCTGTCTTTTTTGATTTTGGGAAATGGGCTCTTTGGGAGTTGTAGTTTCATGGATGGCTAGTCCAAAACCTCATGGGAGTTGTAGTTTCAGAGACTCACATCCACTGGGATCCAAAAGGTGACAGGCAGGACCCAGGGCTGTAGCCAGGGAACAAAGAGGGCCCAGGAGATCCTGGTCCCCACAGTGCGTGGGTTTCTGGGCTCTTTTCTGTGGTTCCCTCTCCTAAGTCACTAGAGCCATGGATAACGGGCATCTCAGCTTTGCTGTGAGGGGCAGGTGAGCAGGCTCAGGTAGGAGGGTCTTTGAGGATATGCCCCCTCAGGCCTCTACCCTCACTTCTCAGCGCCCAGTGAGGTCATGGATCTGCAGACAAGAACTCAGACCAACAACTCAGTCACCCTGTGGTGGAAGGCCCCCGAAGACCCCTACTCTCAGCTCTACATATACCAGGTCCAGTGGGCCAGCGGGGGACACCCTCAGAGGGCGCAAGATCTCCAAGGAGACTGGGCCAACCAGACAAGCAGGACCAATGAGACTTGGTACGAGGTGGAGGCCCTGGAACCTGGGACTCTGTACAACTTCAGCGTATGGGCAGTGAGGAACAATGTAACCAGTTCCACACAGAGCCTCCGGGCATCCACAGGTGAGATGTCCCACCCTTTCTTTACCTGGTGGCCTGGGTGTAGGTCAGACCTGGAGGACTGCGGGATATGAATGGACTACAAATCCCATCAGGCCATGGGTCTGGGAACTCATAAGCTGCAGCACTATAGAGAGCCTAGGGGCTCATGGGAGTTATAGTTTTCAGGGACCTATTTGGGGAAATGGAGAGTGGGGAAGCTGAGGTATTTGGGTCTGGGGGTGGAAGGGCTGGCTCGTCCAAGAGGACTGGGATGCCAGGGCTGGTGGTGGGTGGAGGAAGCCCCCTTGGACGGCTCCTACTGACTCCTCCCTCTTGTTCCCTTCACCCAGCCCCAGACTCTGTCACCGTCATATCCTGTGCCAGCACCTCGGGGGGTTATGGGGTCATCCTGACCTGGTCCTGCCCCTCAGGGGGCTACGAGGCCTTCGAGTTGGAAGTGGGCGTGCAGCGGGGCTCCCAGGACAGGTCTGCATGTGGACAGGGCGTGCCTGTGTCGGGCCTCGGGCCGGCTCGGTCCTACCCGGCCACCATCACCACCGTGTGGGGCGGAATGAGGGCCCAGTCTGCCCCGGTGACCTGCCACACGGAGAGTGCAGGTGAGCAGCCCCCAGGAGCCATCGGGCCCTGACAGGAAATCTGTGGGATTCTTTTGTTTATTTGTCTTTTGTTCCTGTTTCCTTTAAAACAGCCTTATCGAGATACAGGTCTCCTAACATACAATTCACCCACTTAAATTACAACTCCATGACTTTTAGTATATTCACAGTGTTGCGCAACCATCGCCACTATCAATTGTAGAACATTTTCAATACTCCAAAGAGAAAACTCACTCCCCTTAGCCATCACCCCCTCTTTCCCCCATTTCTTGGCCCCTAACCCTAGGAAATCTCCAATCTACTTTCCTTTTAAGGAGATTTGCCTGTTCTGGATATTTCATACAGGTGCAATCAAACATCATGTGGTCCTTTGTGACTGGCCACTTTCACTGAGCATAATGTTTTATTTTCTTATTTTTTATTTTTTGAGACAGAGTCTCGCTTTGTTGTCCAGGCTGGAGTGAGTGCCGTGGCGTCAGCCTAGCTCACAGCAACCTCAAACTCCTGGGCTCAAGCGATCCTCCTGCCTCAGCCTCCCGAGTAGCTGGGACTACAGGCATGCCACCACCATGCCGGCTAATTTTTTTTGAGACAGAGTCTCACTTTGTTGCCCAGGCTAGAGTGAGTGCCGTGGCATCAGCCTAGCTCACAGCAACCTCAAACTCCTAGGCTCAAGTGATCCTACTGCCTCAGCCTCCCTAGTAGCTGGGACTACAGGCATCGCGCACATGCCCGGCTAATTTTTTCTATTATTAGTTGCCAATTAATTTCTTTCTATTTATAGTAGAGACAGGGCTCGCTCTTGCTCAGGCTGGTTTCGAGCTCCTGACCTCGAGCAATCCGCCCGCCTCGGCCTCCCAGAGTGCTAGGATTACAAGCATGAGCCACCACACAGGGCCAAGCATAATGTTTTAAAGGTTCATACAGGCGGGAATGTGCAATGATATTCTGTTGTACAGATCTGCCACATTTTATTTATCTGTCTTCAGCTTAAGTGTCTGGCTATGATGAGTAACACTGCTATGACCATTCATTGACATGTTTTTTGTGGACATAGGTTTTTTTTTTTGTTTTTTTTTTTTTGAGAGCAGTTCTCACTCTGTTGCCTGGGCTAGAGTGCTGTGGCGTCAGCCTAGCTCACAGCAACCTCAAACTCCTGGGCTCAAGTGATCCTCCTGGCTCAGCCTCTGAGTAGCTGGGACTACAGGCGTGTGCCACCATGCCCGGCTAATTTTTTCTATATGTTTTTAGTTGACCAATTAATTTCTATTTTTAGTAGCGACAGGGTATCACTGTTGTTCAGGCTGGTTTCGAACCTCTGACCTTGAGCAATCCACCCACCTGGGCCTCCCAGAGTGCCAGGATTACAGGGATGAGCCACCACACCCAGCCTGGACATAGGTTTTGATTTCTCTTGGGCATATACCCAGGAGTGGGATCGACGGGTCACATACTAACTCTGTGTTCAATGGCCAGATTATTTTGGCAGCGTGGCTGCATCGTTTTACAGTTATCAATGGGATCCTTGAGGAAGTTTGAAGCTTACACTTTGGAAAGTTCCCACCATGTACCAAGGCTATCGCTATAAGCCTCACTTTGCCCCATCCCAGGAAGATGGACTCCTATGAGACTGGGTCTCCCTCCAATCTGGAGAGAAATTGGAGGCCGGTGCCTTGATAAACAGATGCTACTTCAAACTGGGCTTCACTGGATCCCATTGTCTGAGACTCCTTCCCTCAGCAAACAGGACCTCTAGGCAGACAAAGCCTCAATTCTTCTGGGAGTATGGAAGCTGTTGATGCCAGGGAGTCGTTTCCTTCTTTTCTTTTTCTTTTCTTTTATTTTTTTGAGATACAGTCTCACTCTGTCACCTGGGCTAGAGTCCCATGGCGTCAGCCTAGCTCCCAGCAACCTCAACTTACGGGCTCAAGCAATCCTCCTGCCTCAGCCTCCTGAGTAGCTGGGACTACAGGCATGTGTCACCATGCCCAGCTAATTTTTTCTATTTTTAGTAGAGAGGGGGCCTTGCTCTTGCTCAGGCTGGTCTTAAACTCCTGACTTCAAGTGATCCTCCCGACTCAGCCTCCCAGAGTGCTAGGATTACAGGCGTGAGCCACCACGCCCAGCCCAGGGAGTGGTTTCTTAACCAGAAATGTATTTCCTCAATCTTGGCACTATAGACATTTGGGGCTATGTCCTTTTTTGTCATGGCGGGGCTGTGCTGTACACTGAAGGGTACTGAGCAGCATTTGTGGCCTCTACCCAGTGGGTGCCAGTAACTCCCTCATTCATAAGTTGTGGTCACTAAAAATGTCTCCAGACATTGGCCAATGTCCCTTCCAAGTCTGGCAAAATCACCCTTGTTGAGAACCACTGATCTAGGCCAAGGAAGGGGAGAGTTCGCCTGAGAACATGATGTACAGCTGACCCTTGACCAACAGCCCCCCACACACAGTCAAAAATCTGTGTATATCTCTTGACTCTCCAAAAATTTAACTGCTGGCCAGGCGCGGTGGCTCACGCTTGTAATCCTAGCACTCTGTGAGGCCCAGGCAGGAGGATTGCTTGAGCTCAGGAGTTGGAGACCAGCCTGAGCAAGACCAAGACCTCGTCTCTACTAAAAATAGAAAACTTAGCCAGCCATGGTGGTGCATGCCTGTAGTCCCAGCAACTCGGGAGGCTGAGGCAGCAGGATTGCTTGAGCCCAGGAGTTTGAGGTTGCAGTGGGTTAATGGATGTCACTGCACACTACCCAGGGTGACAGAGCAAGACCCTATCTCAAAAAAATAAAATAACTTAAAAAAGCAAAAGCTTAACTGCTAATAGTCTACTATTGACTGGAAGCTTTATCCATAATATAAATAGTGAAATAACACATATTTTGTATGCTTATGTAGTATAATATATACTATATTCTTACAATAAATTAAGTTAGAGAAAAGAAAGTGTTATTAAGAGGATTGTAAAGAAGAGAAAACATATTTATGTGTTATGAAGTGGATCGTCATAAAGGCCTTCGTCTTCATCCTCTTCATGTTGAGTAGGCTGAGGAGGAGGAGGAAGAGGAAGGCTCAGTCCTGCTGTCCCAGGCGTGGCAGGGAAGGAAGCAAATCCGGGCCCAAGTGGACCTGTGCGGTGAAGCCTCTGTTGTTCAGGGGTCAAGTGTGCTTGGCCCAGGCTCCTGGGAAGTGAGGGAGGAAGGGGAGGCTGGGTGGAGGCTGAGGCTTTAGCCAGAAGGTTCGCCCTTCCCCTCCCGAGCGAGCCTCAGCATCTGCCCTGTAGGTCTGACCCCAGTGCCGGGCGAGGGCGGAGGTGGGAGATGGGCGACAAGACCTGGGCTGAGGCTCCCAGTGCCTCCTCCCCGCAGGGGTCATTGCTGGAGCCATCGTGGGCGTCCTCCTGTTCCTCATCCTGGTGGGCCTGCTGGTGTTCTTCCTGAAGAGGAGGTGAGACTGGGCTGGGGACTGACGACCTGGAGGTGGGGCGGGGGCAGGAGGAGGAAGATCGCTGGCTCCAGCCTGGCTCCCTGAGCCTTTCTTTCATCCCCATGTGCTTTCCCCCAAAATAGGAGGAGCCGAGAGAAAGCCTGCAAGGATCTGGCCCTCAGGTGAGCAGACGGTTTGGGGGAGCAACTGGAAGAATCGCTGTCTGGTCCAGTCAGGGGGGTTGCTGGCCACTGGAGGGGTCAGAGGGCAGGATCAGTGAATCCACCCACACAAGTCTCAGGAGGGACTCATGCCCTCAGCAACAGGGACCATGCACCTTTCACCAGGACGTGCTCCCTGGGCAGCCTGGGCCAGGGACTTTGGTCTCAGCTGCAGGACATTCATTCATTCATTCAAATCATTCAACAAATATTAACTGAGCACCTACTGTGTATCAGGCACTGCTCTGGGCACCAAAGACATAGTAAATTAAACCATGATTCTTGCCCTCATGGAGTTGATATTCTAGCACAAGAAGAGATTAACAAACAAGAAAATAAAGAATATGATACACACTTAGATCCAAAGCAAGAGGAGGGGATAGGAAGAGTAGGGGAGTATTTTTGCTTGGGTGTTAAAATGAGAGGAGATTTTAGATAGGGTGTCCAGGGAAAGCCTAGCTAAGGAGATGACTAAGAGGAAGTCATTGAGGACAGACCTAAAGGAGGGGGGAGAAAGGACCATGCCCACGCCTGGAGAAAGGCACTCCAGGCAGAGGGACCAGCAAGTGCAAAGGCCCGGAGGCAGCAGCACGTGTGGGGAGTTGCAGGCGATGCGCATGCGCGTGGGCGGGGGAGGGTGGTCAGAAATGAGGTCAGAGAGGTCTCAGGCGGGACTAGGTCAGGTAGAACCTTGTAGATGAAAGTAAGGACTTTGGTTTATTTTGAGATGGGAGCTTTTGGATAGACCAGTGGTTGACACAATCTAACATGTTTAAGAAGCAAAGGCAGAAATGGGCGGACAAGGAAGATATTTTTTTTTTTAGACAGAGTCTCACTTTGTTGCCCAGGCTAGAGTGAGTAAGTACCGTGCCGTCAGCCTAGCTCACAGCAACCTCAATCTCCTGGGCTCAAGCGATCCTCCTGCCTCAGCCTCCCGAGTAGCTGGGACTACAGGCATGCACCACCATGCCCTGCTAATTTTTTCTATATATATTAGTTGGCCAATTAATTTCTTTCTATTTATAGTAGAGACGGGGTCTCACTCTTGCTCAGGCTGGTTTCAAACTCCTGACCTCGAGCAATCTGCCTGTCTCGGCCTCCCAGAGTGCTAGGATTACAGGCGTGAGCTACCGCCCCTGGCCAAGGAAGAGATTTTGAATAACCCAGACAGGAGATGATTACATGTGAGACCAGAAAATAATAACAGTTGGTCAGAATCTAGATATATTTTGGGAATTTATTTTATCTTATTTAGAGACAGAGTCTCACTCTGTCACCCAAGCTAGAGTACAGTGGTATCATCATAGCTCACTGCAGCCTCGAACCTCTGGGCCCAAGAGATCCTCCTGCCTCAGCCTCCCAAGTAGCTGGGACTACACCACGTGCCCCAATGCCCAACTAGTGTTGCTGCATTGATTCTCTTCCAAGTCTGGCCCTGTCTACATGTTGGGCACTTTGCGACCAGCAACCCCCAATACGTATTCCTGAGTGTCCTGGTGTGAGAGCCCTCTAGGACAATCCAGACGGACGTGTCCCGGAGTTAGGTGGGAATTAGCTGTGAAGCTCAGGAGAGCCACAAGGAGGAAATGGAGGGAGAGAATCTGAGATCACAACGCGTATACACAGAAAGTAGACCCACAGGAGTGGACAAAAGTTTGTAAGAAGTGTGTGTCCGGCGAGAAGATAGGCTTGGGGTTGGACTCTGGGGAATACTTACCTTTTAGGACGAGGAGCCCTCCCGGGAGTTGGACAGGCAGCAGCCGGCGAGGTGGGGGCCAAACCAGGAGAGGGTGTTTAGGGAGAGGACAGAGCCAGGAAGACCAGGAAGGCACAGCTGGGGCTGCTAGGTGCTGCCAGGCGGTCAAGCGGGGCGTGGACTGAGAGGTGACCGTTGAGATGGGGACGCCAGGGATGACTTTGGGGAAAGATGTTCCCCGAGGAGTGGGTATAGATTCCAGACCATGGTGACATGGTGAAAGGAAGGGGAGAAAACTGGTCCACATGAGAAGTTTGAGTATAAAGGGGTATCTTCATAGGGTTTCTTTCATTTTTTTTTTTTTTTTGAGACAGAGTCTCACTTTGTTGCACAGGCTAGAGTGAGTGCCGTGGCGTCAGCCTAGCTCACAGCAACCTCAAACTCCTGGGCTCAAGCGATCCTCCTGCCTCAGCCTCCCGAGTGGCTGGGACTACAGGCATGCGCCACCATGCCCGGCTGGTTTTTTCTATATATATTTGTTGGCCAATTAATTTCTTTCTATTTATAATAGAGACAGGATCTTGCTCTTGCTCAGGCTGGTTTTGAACTCCTGACCTGGAGCAATCCTCCCGCCTCGGCCTCCCAGAGTGCTAGGATTCCAGGCGTGAGCCACCATGCCCGGCCCAGCATTGAGTATTGTGCAACCATCACCACCATCCACCTCCAGAATCTTTTGATGTCGCAGAACTGAAACTCTGCACCCATTAAACACAGCCCCTCACTCCTCCTCCCCAGCTCCTGGCACCCACCATTATACCCTCTGTCTCTCTGAGTCTGACTCCTCCAGGGACCTCACGTGAGTGGAGTCATGCAGTATTCATCTCTTTGTGACTGGCTGATTTCACTTTGCATGATGTCCTCCAAGGTTCATACGTGTCGTAGCAGGTGTCAGAATTTCCTTCCTTTTTATTTTTTTTTATTTTTTTATTTTTTTCCTTCCTTTTTGAGTGATATTTCATTGTACGTGGAGACCACATTTTGTTTTCCATTCATCCATCCTGGATGCTTAGGTTTCTCTACCTTTGGGCCATTATGAATAATGTCACCTCGAATACAGGTGTGCAAATACCTCTTCCAGACCTTGCTGTCATTTGTTCTGGGCATTCCCCAGGAGTGGCACAGATGGATCAAAAACACCTTTTTTTAAATCCCAAGAGCAAAGGAGTAAAGGTTAAAATCTTTTCTCCCCTCCCTCAACCCGCAGCTTCCCAGAGTACATCCTGGCCAAAGACTTCGCTGAACACGTCAGGAAGAACGAGGAGGACAGCAATTGGGGCTTTGCGGATGAGTACCAGGTGGGTGGGGACAGAGGGGCCTAGCGGGGCCTTCAGTGGCCCAGACCCCTCCCTCGACCTGCCGGCATCCCTTGGGGTTTAAGCAAAAGCAGCAACGCATATCTTGTTCCATGGTGCAGAAATCCTCAGCACGATCTCTTTCAAGTCCTTGAAATCTTAAAATAATGATGAAAAATGCTAAAGTAACTCCCCCCAGCCCTGGCGAGGGGCTGTTTTCCCCACACCTGCTCTCTCACCTGCCTGAAGTAGTCCCCATGGCTCCCAAAATCCTCCCAGATGCCCCCAGCGTGGGCGGCACACCTATATTCTGTTTTGTGGGTGCTATGGAATCCCAGGGTGCAAGGGATAAACAAGGGGTCGTGCTGGAGAAGGCAAGTGGGGTTCCGGGGTCTCCTCCAGGAGAGGTAGAGGAAAACCCAACACCATGTGCTCCTCTCTGCCTCCACCCCCAGCAACTGGCCCTGGAGAGCTGGGGCCACTCTCAGATGGTGGCCTCAGCTCCAGAGAACTGTGCCAAGAACCGCTACACAAACGTGCTGCCATGTGAGTCTCAGCCCCCACCTGGTCCTCGCCCCAACCCAGTCCCCTTCTCTTGCCCCCTGTGGGAGAGTCGTCCCCTGTGAGTCCCTTGAGAGTCGTCCTGCCTCTCCCAGCCAAGGTCCCTCACTCCCTCTCAGTCCCCGCATGGCTCCCAGTGTCTGTCTGCATCTCGGCATGACCTCTGTCCCTGGGTCTCTGACTTGTCTCTGCCTCTCTGTCTCTCACTGGTCTCTCTGCGTCACTCACGCTGGCCTCTCATAGATGACTGGTCCCGGGTGTCCCTGAAGCCCCTCCACGGGGAACCAGGCTCTGACTACATCAACGCCAGCTTCATGCCTGTAAGGTTGTGGTTGGGAGCGGAGGGTGCTCAGTGAGCCTGGAGATGTATGGGCCAGAGGGGCATCCCCAGGTCCCCTTGACACGCCTGCTTTCCTCCCCCAGGGTCTCCACAGCCCCCTGGAGTTCATTGCAACCCAGGGCCCCCTGCCGAACACCGTGGGCGACTTCTGGCGCCTGGTGTGGGAACAGCAGAGCCGTACCCTGGTCATGCTGACCAACTGCATGGAGTCCGGCCGGGTGAGAGGAGAGTCCTGGGTGCTGACCTCCGAGCTCCAACCCATGGCCTTGCCCTGGACACTGGCCCAATGTAGACCCGGTGCAGACCGCACTGGGTGCTCCAGTATGACCACAGCCATCTTCATCACAGCCCCTCCCACTCAGAGGCCATCTGCTGCTCCACACATGGGGCGTGACTTAGATCCCACTAACCTTGGGGTGGAGGGGTCCTCCTGGCTGGATCTACACCAGTCGCCCATGGGTCCTGCCAGGGCAGGGGAGATTTGAATAGAAGAGCCACAAGGCAGAGGCGCCTCCTGTTTTCTGACCCCCATCCTCCCCCAGGTGAAGTGTGAGCATTATTGGCCCCTGGACGCCCAGCCCTGCATCTACGGGCACCTGCGGGTGACCCTGGTGGGTGAGGAGGTGACGGAGAACTGGGCGGTGCGCGATCTGCTGCTCTTCCAGGTACGTCCCTCCCCCCCCACGGCCCTCCCCACGCTCATCCCCCATCTCCGCGACCGACGCGCTCTCCCTCGCCCCGTCCAGGTGGAGGAGCAGAAGACCCTACCGGTGCGTCAGTTCCAGTACCTGGCCTGGCCGGATCACGGTGTCCCCCACTCCCCAGACCCCTTGCTGGCCTTCTGGAAGATGCTCCGGATGTGGCTGGACCAGGCGGTGGAGGGAGGCCCGCCCATTGTGCATTGCAGGTGGGGGCCGGAACCTGCCCCCTGGGAGAACCTCGGGATCAGACAGTGGTGTTGTTACTTGGTCCTGGGGGGCTTGTAGAGGGGGTGGGAGAGAAGGATGAAAAGATGGGAACGAAAGATGAAAGATGAAAGGAAGAGAAAGTATGAATGGGGGCGGAGCAGGAGCGGAAGCAGCCAGAGAGTTTGAGAGACATTTGAAAGGCGCCCCCTGGTGCTCAATTGCTGGGCTGCACCCGCCAACTGCTCTCCTGATATTGAGGCCGGAGCCCCTTAGGTCAGGTTTCACCTAAATGCAAACACTAGGGGCATGAGGAGGGGCGCTTACTCTGCCCAGGGTGACTGCCTCTGAAATGGGGCTCTGGGTTCAATGATAGGTGACATCATGGAACACTGAACAGCCACCGTCTCGCTCATCCTCAGCACAACCCTCATGGCAAAGACTTTCCTCCCCATTTTACTTAGTTATTTGTTTTGGGGTAGAGATAGGGTCCCACCATGTTGCCCAGGCTGGTCTCAAACTCCTGGCCTCAAGCAGGCTTTCTGCCTTGACCCCCCAAAGTGCTGGGATGACAGGCGGGAGCCACCGCTCTTCGCCATTTTATTTTATTTATTTTTTGAGACAGAGTCTCGCTTTGTTGCCCAGGCTAGAGTGAGTGCTGTGGCATTAGCCTAGCTCACAGCAACCTCAAACTGCTGGGCTCAAGCAATCCTCCTGCCTCAGCCTCCCGAGTAGCTGGGACTACAGGCATGCGCCACCATGCCCGGCTAATTTTTTCTATATATATTAGTTGGCCAATTAATTTCTTTTTTATTTATAGTAGAGATGGGGTCTCGCTCTTGCTCAGGCTGGTTTCGAACTCCTGACCTTGAGCAATCCACCCGCCTCGGCCTCCCAGAGTGCTGGGATTACAGGCGTGAGCCACTGCACCCGGCCTCTTCGCCATTTTAGAGCTGAGCTGATATCATTATATGATTCCATTAGTATGAACTATCCAGAAGAGGTAAATCAACCGAGGCAGAAACAGATTAGTGGTTTCCAGGGACTGAAGGGAGAGGGGGAAAATGGAGAGTGACTGCTTAATGGGTATGGGGCCTCATTTTGAGGTGATGAGAGTGTTCTGCAAGTAGATAGAGGTGGTGGTTGCACGACATTGTGAATATGCTAAATGTCACTGGATTGTTCACATTAAAATGGTTAATTTTTGGCCAGGTGTAGGGGCTCATGCCTGTAATCCCAGCACTTTGGGAGGCTGAGGCTGGAGTATAGCTTGAGGTCAAGAGTTCATGACCAGCCTGGACAACATAGCCAGACCCTGTCTCTACAAAAAACTTTTTAAGAATTGGGCCAAGCATGGTGGCTAACACCTGTAATCCTAGGACTTTGGGAGGCTGAGAAGGGAGGATTGTCTGAGGCCAGGAGTTTGAGGTTGAAGTGAGCTATGATGATGCCACTGTACTCTAGCTGGGTGACAGAGTGAGACTCTGACTCAAAAAAAAAAAAAATCATCCAGGAGCATGCCTGTAGTCATACCTATTTGGGAAGCTGAGGTGGAAGGATCTCTTGAGCCCAGGAGTTCAAGACTGGAGTGAGCTTATGACTGCACCAGTGCACTCCAGCATGGGTGATAGAGTGAGACCCTGTCTCTAAAAACTAAATAAAATGGTTAATTTTATGTTTAAAGGAATTTAAAAATGATTACTTCAGGGGTTCATGTTCCTGTGTTTGAACCCCAACTCAGTCGCTTATCAGCCAAATAACCTGGGATGGGAGACTTCACTTTACTCAGCCTTCATTTCTCCATCTGTAAAATGGGTGTGGTAATATTAATAGATCTTACTTCTTAGACTTGGGAGGAGTGAAAAAGTCACATAAGACATGTAGAACAGGGTCTGATAGACATAAGGAACTCTAGGCATAGTTGTTATCATTACTCCCAAAGCAGACCCCTCTTATCAGCCAGGGCTCCAGACTCCCCCAATCCCCACCATGGTCTGACCCTCTCCTTGTCCCACTAGTGCTGGCGTGGGCCGCACCGGCACCCTCATTGCCCTGGATGTCCTGCTTCGGCAGCTGGAGTGCGATGGCTTCGTAGGGCCCTTCAGCTTTGTGAAGAAGATGAGAGAAAGCCGGCCGTTGATGGTGCAGACAGAGGTGATGGAGCCCCCGAGGGACCCAGGGTGAAGGTGGGAGGTAGGATGTGGCTCTGAGCGGCCCAGGCTTGTTGGGGAGGGTGCTGCTCATTCTCTATGCCTCCTCCCCAGGCCCAGTATATATTCCTGCACCAGTGCATCCTGCGGTTCCTCCAGCAGTCAGCCTCAGTCTGGGAGGAGGCCACGTATGAGAACGTGACAAACCTCATCTACGAGAACGTGGCTGCCATCCAGGCCCAGGAGGTGGAGGCATAAGCTAGGAGAGGGCTGAGCAGGCAGCCCAGCTACACACAAGCTCTGGGTCCACACTGGAGCCCAGATACCTGGAGGAGTGGAGGGTTGGAGTCCCAGACTCCTGGGCCCTGTGGAGGGGGGTGACTAGGAGCCTAAACTCCTGTTTCTCCAGGGGAGAGGGGTCTGCGTCCACTCATGAGTCCTGTGGGAGCTGGGGCCTGGACGCCTGGCTGCTTGTAGGGGAAGTGTGGGAGCTTGCATTTCCCTGTTCTTTGAGGGAGAAGGAAGCAGCAAGAACCAGGCTGGAACCTGGATTCTGAGAGAGGAAGAAGTTAGGGCCTGGAATTCTGGCTACCCAAAGAGCAAGGGCAGGCAGGATCCTGCCCTGCTTTTACGTCAGAAAACAAATCAGTCTTCTATGATCTGGGGTTGGAGGGAGTTACTCTGCTTGAGGTCTCCCTGAACCTCCCATCTGCATATAGTTTCTCATCTATCCCATAATTTATTAAATCACTGTTCTCAGAAATGGTTGCGCCTGTGGATTTATGAGTCTGGAAATGATAGCGGGACAGGAGTGGGGATGAGTTTTTGACATCTAGGTACAGAGGCAAACGTCCCAGCGAGGGGACTAGAGGGACCCACGATTTTGCAGGTTAATATAGGTTTGGATGGTTAAGTCTCTCAGAGAAGGCTGGGTCCAGATGTCTGTATCCAGGGTCTGGACAGTATGGGTGGGGTTTGTCGGAGCTGGAGGCGTGGGGGCTGCCTCCTGGGCTTGGCGTTAGGGGAACCCAGAGAGGGTGATGTCTGGGGGCTGTTATGCTGAATACCATCTGAATACTTGGGTCTCCAGAGGGGTCTCCTGGGTCCCAGGACTAGATAGATACCATGGCACCCAGTTCTTTGGGCTGCACTGGGTGTGTGTTTTGTGTGTGTGTTGGGGCACGGGGAGCGGTGTGGATGGCCGACAGCTGGACCAGAAGGCAGAAAATTCTGAGGCATCAGGATAAACATCGGTGGGCGCCACCATGGTTCGCGGGTGAGGGCGGGACGAGAGGTAGGGCGGGGCTTTCCGCCTACCCAGGACCGAACAGGGGCACACTCTCTCTCTCTCTCACACGCGCGCGCGCACACACACACACACACACACACACACACGCACACACACGCACACACACGCACCACGCTGGGACCCGCTCCGCTCGGCCGCGCCCCCGCCCCGCCGAGCTCCGCGATCAGCACCCGGGACAGCGCCACCGCCCACGTGCGGGCGGGGCCGGCGCCTCGGTGTCTCGGGAGGTCCCGTTCAGCCGCGGAGCAGGTAGGAGCGGCGGGGACCCCTCCCTAAGCCCCATCCTCATTCCGATCCCCAGAAGGACGGGGTGTGGGTGTGGAGGGGACCCTGGGAGAGACCAGTAGAGGCAGTGGGAGGGCTGGAGCCGGAAACGTGGAGACGTGGGGAGACACGAGCTAGGTGTAGGGAAGACAAAGAGACGACAAAGAGGGGAGGGAAGGCGCGCAGGCGGAGGGGATGGGGAGAAACCCCGGGAGGCAGAGGCCAGACAGTCCCCCTGGGAGACAGAAATAGGGGGGACGCCTATTTGGGGTCGGGAGACAGGTGGAGACAGGCGGACAAGAGAACAGGTGTGAAGACAGAGGTCGGACGCGGCAGAGACCCACAGGCCCGGAAGGATGCGGGGGGGGGGCAGCAGGGGCACCCCACCCACCCCCAGCAAGGATGGGGAGAGGGAAGAGGGAACCTGCGCCTCCGCTCCAGGGGCCGGATGCGGAGGGAGGAGCCGGCTGTGGTCGCACGGACCACAGGCTGCCCCTCCACGCCCTCGCTGGACCCCTGGATCCGGGCCAGGGGGTCCCAGGCACCCACCTCGCGGGGAGGGAGCCTGCCCGCGGGGACTCAGGGTCTGTGCGTCAGCCCCGCCCGTTGTCCTGGCAACGGGCCGTTTCCTGGGCAACCAGCTTTGCTCCCACCCCGCCCAAGCACAGCGGGGCAGTTGCTCTGGGCAACGCGGTCCGCTAGTTCCCACGCCGGCCTTCGCCCACTTCCGGTCCAGGTCTTGGACCCCCCCACCCCCGCCCGCGCCGGTCTCCGTCGCGGGGAAGGCTAAAGCTCCCAGCATGCTTCACGGCTCCAGCCCGAGCGGGCATGGCGGCCACGCGGGGGGCGATGGGAGTTGTAGTTCTCTGCTGTGCAAGCAGTCAATGGACGTGTGGGGTGGGAGTTGGGGGCCTAGGGCGTTTGAGTGCCTCCGCAGACAGGACCGTTGGGTCTCGCTGCCATGTTTCCGGAGCCTCCGACCCTCGGGCCTCCAGCGTCCGATGCGCCGCCGGACTCCAGCCGTATCAGCCACGGCCCAGGTGAGCGGGACCCGGGCGCGGAGCGGACTGAAAGCCTGGCTTGGATTTGCAGGGGCGGGATTCGGACGGGTGAGGTCGGGCTAGTGGGCTGGAAAATCCGGCTGGTATGCTAGGGCAGCATCCTGGACGGGAATGTGGATGAAATGGGGGCGGGGCGGGGAAGGGGAGGACGAACAGGTTTGCAAGAAAAACCAGAACCGGATCAAGGGGTGTGGCATGGAAGGGATCTTAGAATTGGAAGGTCCGCCTCACTCTTCTTTTACAGATAAGGAAACTAATGTCCAGGAAGGAGCAGAGCTTGTCCTAAAAGCATCAGGGCGTGCGCAGAAATTAGAGTAGGGGTGGGAGGAAAGGTGGAACAATAAGCAAGCAATCTGGATGGTGTCAGCCTGGGTTAGGTTCTCATATCTCTTTATAGGCAAAATCAGTTGGAGGGAAAATGGGGAAAATGGAATGGAAATGGCTGGAGGGAAAACGAGGCCAGGATTCCAGCTTCCATTTGTAATGGGGACTGAGTCAGCCAGACTGTTTCCCAGGGCCTCAATGTGTGTTGTCTCCACCCCCTTGCAGTGCCCCCCTGGGCCCTGGCCACCATCGTGCTGGTCTCAGGCCTCCTTGTCTTCAGCTGCTGTTTCTGTCTCTACCGGAAGTGCTGTCGGAGGCGGATGGGCAAGAAGAGCCAGGCCCAAGCCCAGGTCCACTTTCAGGAAGTGAAGGAGTTGGGCCAGAGTTACATAGACAAGGTGTGGCAGGCCCAGCCCCGCAAGGGTACCCCTTCCTGCACCCTGCATCTCTCAAGGGCCCAGCCAGCCTCAGTCCCTGCTCCCTTCTCTCCTAAACCCCCTTATTGGCTCATCTTCTAATAAGATGTGTGTCTAGCCCTCAACTGGACTCTGGGGACCTGGAAATGGGTCACACCTGGTGGCTGTTTACAGACACTTCTCAGTCTGGTGAGGGAGTCAGACACTTACAATACAGGCTGATACGTGTCATATTCAGGGCAGAACAGGGTCCTATACAGGAATGCAGATAAAGCACCAGGCAGCCCAGAGCAGAGGGTCTGACAGAGGCTTCCTGGTGGAGGTGACTTCTGTGCTGAGACCCAAGGGACAGAGTTCACTGAGAGCAGAGAGAAGGATATTCTAGTCAAAGGAAAAGTGTGTGATGAGGCCCGACTTCCGAGGCATACTTGGAGAACAGAGAGTCATTTTTCACCGTAGCTGGGGCAGAGTACAGGTGTACTGTGCTCTGGAGCAAAGTGTCTGGAGGGCTTAGCACGTATGTATGAAGGGCGATTGAGAGCTACAGAGACGTTCTGAGCAGGAGAGGGACAGGGTCAGAGGGGCATGAATCCTCCGGAGCCTGCCTGGAGGACAGAGAGGATGAAAGAGATATGCCTTGGAAGAGGCAGTTGGAGTGGAAAATAAAAGGCTGCTGCAGGAACTGAACATTAAATCTCTAAGTGCAGAGGGGAATGCTTGCCTAGGAGCCAGGCAGCCCTAGGTGTCCAACCCAGAGATACCATTTCCCAGCTGTGTGACTTGGGAAATTCACTGTCTTTCTCTGAGCCTCAAATTCATGGTCACTAATTTAGTTTTTCCCTCCTTCTTTTTCAAAACATAGTTGTTATTATTCATTAGGGATGTCATTTAGGGTCCTGGTCCCCACCCCCATCTGTATCCCATCTGTAAGGCCACTATTGTTCAAGGACCATCTATATGAGAATCACCTCAAGTCCTCACTGAAATGCAAATCCTGGATCTAGCACCTGAGCTACAGTATTAGAGTCCCTAAAGAGGTGACCTCAGGCCTTTTGTCATGCTCTCAGGAGAATTCTGATTCACATTGAATTTTGAGAATTAGTGGCCTAGGTTAGGGAGACACCTTCTGCTTTTGTTGTTCTACTTTAGAATTACAAGTACACAGTAAATATTCCATTTCTTCTTCATGTTTTGCTGTGGCAAGATCACCAATCAACATGGCAATTTGGACTACCACCCCAATTCATCCATTAGCACGTGAAATAAAATCTGTGTCATTCCTGTGGGCAATGAGACACTATCAGTACTTGTCTTAGCCTAGGCATGACAAACATACTGTATGTACATTCCCGTGTCTATTCCCCATCCATAGCAGACATTACTAATCAAACACTGATTCTACTTGGCCTGCCAGGGCTCAGATATAGCCCAAGGGATCTGTGAGCCTCCCTTGGCTTATGAGCCTGAAGGATACTGCTATCAGGGGAAGACTTCACCTGCCCTTGCCCCTGGCTCCCTAAGGTGCAGCCAGAAGTGGAGGAGCTGGAACCAGCACCATCCGGGCCAGGGCAGCAGGTGACAGACAAGCATGAGCTAGGACGACTGCAGTACTCACTGGATTATGACTTCCAGAGTGGCCAGGTAGGTGGCAAGGAAGGAGATGCTTTGGGGGAGAGGGTTCTGGCCCCTTTCAAGAGGAAACCCTGGAAGGGAGGCTAAGACTACGGTCCCTCCCCCCTCCATGCCTGGAACCTGCAGCTGCTGGTCGGTATCCTGCAAGCAGAGGGATTGGCAGCCTTGGATCTGGGTGGTTCCTCAGACCCCTATGTGAGGGTCTACCTGCTGCCGGACAAGCGGAGGCGGCACGAAACCAAGGTGCATCGGCAGACACTGAACCCGCACTTTGGGGAGACCTTCGCCTTCAAGGTGAGCTCCTGCCTTCAATGTCCCATGCTCACAACCTGCCCCTAGTCCCTGGAACCCTGGGGACTCACCCATTTGGCTTTTCCCGGGGGGAACCCACAGCTCAAGTGGCAGCTACCAGTTCTGGGGGCTATCCCACCGGACCCAGGGTTGTCCCCTTGAGGCACTACTGAACGCTGGGCTGCCTTGGTCCTTGGGCTGCCTCTCTTGGTTTCCATTGACCAGTGATTTTTTTCCCTCTCATAGATCCCTGGACCTCCCCATTTCGGTTCCATAGACACCCTCCCCCAACTGTTTCCTTGGACCCTTGCAGCCCCACTCGACGCCTACCACCTGGATGTGCTGCACCCTACTTCCTCTATCGCTGACATCCTACTCTCCTCCTGTTCTCTCGGTGTCCCCCACATACTCAGGTCCCCTACGTGGAGCTGGGAGGCAGGGTGCTGGTCATGGCGGTGTATGACTTCGACCGCTTCTCCCGCAATGATGCCATCGGGGAGGTGCGCGTCCCCATGAGCTCGGTGGACTTGGGGCGGCCCGTGCAGGCCTGGCGGGAGCTGCAGGCGGCTCCGCGGGAGAAGGTGAGCACGCTTGGCTACGCCCCCAGGCCAGGCACCGCCAACCCCTTCCCTGGGCCAGTCACTGGCCTCCCGGACCCTCGGGCCACCATCTTTCACCTGCTCCAGAGGGATAGATTGATGCATCCGCCTCCTAGGATTGCACCACTGGGTTCTTAACTCTGGACCACTCCGTCCCAAGGTGTGGGAGAGGAAAGAAAGATCAGAGAGGGGATGGATGTGGAGCTGGGACTCTCTCCTTTCAGCAAGAGAAACTAGGAGACATCTGCTTCTCCCTCCGCTATGTCCCCACGGCTGGGAAGCTCACCGTCATCGTCCTGGAGGCTAAAAACCTGAAGAAGATGGACGTAGGAGGACTGTCAGGTGTGTGGGAAGCAAGGCAATGGGTGTGTGGGGTGGGGGGTTCTCCGGTTCTGACAGTTTCTGGGTGCCAGGGGTCTCTTGAGGGAGAGGGAGACCCAGGCTGCCTGGGAGGCACCGATTTTGGCACAGAGAGGAGACATATGCTGTCTCTACGTTGGTCCGAGAACTCAGGAGTCGGCGCTATAAGGCTCCTCCTCCCTCTCCCCAGATCCCTATGTGAAGGTCCACCTGCTGCAGGGCGGGAAGAAGGTGCGGAAGAAGAAAACCACCATCAAGAAGAACACTCTGAACCCCTATTACAACGAGGCTTTCAGTTTCGAGGTGCCCTGTGACCAAGTCCAGGTGAGACCTGCCCGTCGCCTCTGCCAGAACAGCCGTTTCCCAAGAGCCCCAGACCCTTAGAAAGGGGAGACTTTCCAACAGCGCGGTAGAAACCAGGGCGGGGGCTGAGATTATGTTCTCAGTCTCAGTTTCCTCCAGAGAGGACCAGGAAGTCCCACCCCCTCAAGGAAGAGTCTCCTTACAATTGGGCGTGGGCATCCTGTCTGCCGGAAGCAAGACCGGATGCCCCGCCCACTACGCAAGACGTGATACCCCGCCCCCCAGAAAATGGTTACTGAGAAGAAACTCCCCAGACCCTTTTAGGGACAGGGCCTGGCCAGGCCTGAGGCTTGGCCCCCAGCCCATGTCGGAGTTATGAAGCCCCCTCTTAGGGGGCTGTCCCCTAAGGAGGCTCCTAACAAGCCCTTAGCAAGCAGGTCCGGAAGGTCCATTTCCTTGGAAAGCTACTTCCGAGGGAAGAAAGGCCCCAGAGCACCCTTCTCCTGCAGGCCTCGTTCCTTCCGTCCCCATCCCTACCCTGTCCCCAGCTGCTCTAGCAAGGCCCTTGGCGCTCAGGCTGCAGAGAGGGGCTGTCCTTAGCAATGGGAGCTGACACTTGACCCCCTAGTGGAGCCTCAATTCCTCACTGTCCTGTGTCCTCTACCTTTCTCGCTGCCCCAGAAAGTCCAGGTGGAGCTGACCGTGCTGGACTACGACAAGCTGGGCAAGAACGAGGCCATCGGGAGGGTGGCCGTGGGGGCAGCGGCTGGCGGGGCCGGCCTGCGGCACTGGGCAGACATGCTGGCCAACCCCCGGCGGCCCATTGCCCAGTGGCACTCGCTGCGGCCCCCTGACCGGGTGAGGCTGCTGCCCGCGCCCTGATCCTCACCCCACGCTCCTGGCCAAGCCCGGACTGCTGACCCCAGACTCCTGAGACTGGCCAAAGCCAAGCCCAGTGCTACCCCGAAGGCTTCTCTGACGGCTAGCCCCTCCCCAGTCCCCAACTATCTGATCCTTTCCTGCCTTCTCGCCCCCTATTATGCCCCCTATTATGCCAATCGTGACAACTTTCTAACAACACCTCCCCTGCGATGCACATACCCAGAAGCCCCAGGGACCCGTGGTTGGGGGAGGGGAAGCAGTCTGGTTCCGCCCCAGGGTCCTGCCCTCTGTTCTGACAATCAGCGTTCCCAGTGTACTGTCCCCTTCACTCCCAAAGCCGCTGTCCCCACACAGCCTGATCCCTGCCCCGCTGCTGGGGCCAAATAAATGTTCAGCAGCTCTGGTGGCCTGGCCCCATGCTCCTTGATGGGGGTGGGCAGGGGCTGGGTGCCCCAGAGGGAACCCCATCTCCAGGAATGGGAGCACCCGGGGCTGTGTGAGCGCTGTTCACCCTGGAAACCGGCTGGGGGAAACACGCCCACCCACCACCTACCCTCTCATGCCCTCACCCACTTACACTCTCATTCCTTCACATAGTCATTCGCTCACCTCTCTGAGCCTCAGTTTCCTCACCTGAAAACACTGTGGTCATAATAATACCTGTGACAGGTTTGCTGTGAGGAGCCAGGAGCATTCCCCTACTTATTCATGAATTCACCCACTCCCTCGCCCATGACGCACACAGATTTTCAGACCTGTATTCGCATTCCTCCCTCCCTCTTTCACTTCCTCACTCCCTTCCGTCTTTCCTCTTTCCTTCCCCCACCCCTTTCTTTCTTCCTTCCACCATCCATCCTCTCCATGTTCCCTAAAGTCTTCTGTTGAATCCTGGGGACCTAGAGTGGATGCAGACCTGAACTCCAAGCGACCCACTCTCATCAAGGAAACAAAATATATGCACAGAGTCTGGGAATGAACTCTCTGGAGAAAGGACAGAGTTAAGTAGGGAAAGCCAGTGGTTCCAACTTTACCTCATTCTTCTTTCAATGAATCCTGCCTCCCAGTTTGTTTCTAGCAAAGATAATTGTTTCATTGGCTTCTCCCTCATTTTGTCCCAGACAGGATTTTGGGTGGTGGACAAAGATCTGTAAAATTTTGCAAGGGAGCTGTTTGAGTAGCAGGTTAAGTGGAGAATAAGGCAAAAATTACCTCATGTGCTAAAAAATGGGGCAGAGTACAAACTTGCCCCTGAACTTCCTGGTAGCCAATGGGAAAAGGGAAATCAGATCAGTTACCTAGATTATTATAAAATCTTAGAATAAGATTTTTTAAAATTCTTCAAAAGAATACAGTAATTTCTCATGTGTGAGTGTGTGTATGTATGTCGGATGTCTTCATGAAGATAGCACTATGTGTTATTGCTATTACCGTTACTACTGCCAATAATAATCCTCAGAGTAACCTCATGAAATAGACAGGATTGCTATTCCCAGTTGACACACGAAGAAAATATGTTTTATAGAATTAATCTGATCTGCTCAGAATCACACATCCAGGAAGTCTGTCTCTAAATCCTGGGGTTGAACCTGTTCTGATTTAGATGATAACATTGGGGTCCCTGGTTCCCTGTCTCAACAAGAAAGCAGAGCAATAATTATTCTTATTCTTAACAATTCTTCTTAAAACATTACAAATGGCAATCCATACTGAGAAGAAAACCAGGAAGGGCTGAAATAATTTAGAAAGGGCAGGCAGGGAAAGCCTTCCTAGGGAGGTGAGGTTTGGGCTGTGATTTGAAAGACTGGAAGAAATGACGTTTGCAAAGGTAATGGAGAAATACAATGGAATGTTATTTAGGCATAAAACCAAAAGGAAGCCTGATTCATATTTCTTTTTCTTTCTTTATGTCTTTTTTTTTGCAGGCTGATCAGCTCTGTTGCCGGGCTAGAGGCTGTGGGTCAGCCTAGCTCACAACAACCTCAAACTCCTGGGCTCAAGCGATCCTCCTGCCTCAGCCTCCCCAGTAGCTGGGACTACAGGTGTGCACCACCATGCCCGGCTAATACTGATTGTTTCAGCATGTGTGAATCTTGAAAATATTATACCAAATGAAAGAAGCCAGACAAAAAGGCTGCATATAGTAGGATTCCCATTTATATGAAATTATAGGTGGGCACGGTGGCTCACCCTGTAATCGTAGCACTCTGGGAAGTCCAAGGTGGGAGGATCACTTGAACCCATGAGTCTGAGATTGGAGTGAGCTATGATGACACCCTGCACTCTACCCAGGGTGGCAGAGTGTGATTCTGTCTTGAAAGAAAGAAAAGAGAGAGAGAGAGAGAGGAGAGAACGCGAGAAGAAGAGAGAGAAGAAGAAACGAAAAGAGAAAGAAGAAAGAGGCAAATGAAAGAGAAAAAGAAAAAAAGAAATAATAGATAAATTCACAGAGACAGAAAGTAGATTGTGGTTTCAGGGACTTAGGAGAAAGAGAAATGGAATACAGGGTTTCATTTTGGAGTGATGAGAAGGTTCTGGAACTAGATAGTGGTGATGGTTGCACAGCACTGTGAATGTACTAAATGTCATTGATGGGAAACTTTATATGTGTTTTACCCCAATTTCAAAAGGAAAACAAAGATGGAGGGGAAGGAAATCCAAGGCAGGGGGAGCCCCAACTTGCAAAGGCCCTGGGGCTGGCACAGGCTTGTGTGTTCTCAAAAGAACCAGGAGGCCAGTGTGGCTACAGGGAAGCCTGAGGGGGACATGTGGTGGGGGGTGACGGAAGAGACACAGCCAAGCGCAGGTGGTGCAGGGCCTAGGACCGGGCTAAGGAGCTGGGAGTGTGTCTATGCACAGGAGGAAGCCTTCAGAGGGTTTTAAGAGGTGAGTGGCACGATCTGATTTATGTTTGAGATCACTCTGGCTCCTTCGTGGAGAATGTGTTGGGGGAGTGGTGGTAATAGGTACAAGGGCATTAAGTCTTCATAGAGAAAGCCAAGCTCTGGGGCCAGGCCTGGTGAGCTGAGCTGGCTTCAGAGGGGCCAAGTTGGCGAGGCCAATTCTGCAGGGACAGCTGAGATCTCAGCCTTCATCTCCCCGTGGGCGCATCTTCCCATTGCTCAGACCTGTCCTCAGGAGGCAGACAGACCTCCTTTGGATCTGCTGCACCTCTGCCAGCTGCATGTTACCATTCCATTTCACAGAGCAGGAAACTGAGGCTCAGAAAAGGTAAGTGGCTTGTGTGTCATGTAGCTGGGCAAGGAGAGGAGGCAGAGAGCCAAGGTCGGTTGTGTGCTGCACCTTGTGCTGGGTGCTGGAGTGATCTCAGGATGTGTGTCTCACTCAGACCCTGCCCTTGTGGAACTCAGGCTGGGCCTTGGGACCACAGTCAAGCTAGTGATGACAGCAACTACAACCCACCCAATGCTGCTATGTGCCAGGCCCTGAGCTAATTGGTTTATGAACATCAATTCCTTTTTTTATTTCTTCACTCAATCCTATGAGGTAGGTATTGTTAGCTCTTGAGATGCTCAGCCAAATTAAGTCAACTGGCTGAAGCCACTCAGCCAGCAAGTGGCAGAGGCGAAATGTAAACCTGGGTGTGTCTGACACTAACGGTTACACTCTCAGGCTGCAGTGCAGACTGCTGCGGCCATTCTGCTGGGAAGGCAGAGGCAGAACTCAGAGGAAGATTCCTTGCTGGGCTTGGAAGGATGAGCAGGACTCTTCCAGGGGAGGGTGGGGGAGGATGTTGAAGGGACAGAAAGATGGAAAGAATACAGACCTGGAGGCAAGAGGGGGCTTGGCGTGCTGTAACCAACTTTCTGGAGCCCTGGTGGGTGGTTTGCCCATTTTGTTTTCACCCCATTTCCATTGGGGTGAAAACACTCCCACACAGATAATTTCAAGCCACCAATGCGCAGTCACTCAATATGCAGTTGAGAAGAGATATCTACTAACACACTATCAAATAATACTTCCTAGGGCCAGGATGCAGGTCCCAACATTTAAGACAAAGCCCCCCCCAAAACCCTTCAGTAATAAAGATACATAGAGCTTTAATGCAATATTTAAAAAAATCAAAATCTATGCCAAAAATATCCATGATGAATGAAATATAGAAATTTTAAACACAGGATCAGACGCTGCACTTGCATGATTCTGCCTGACCATAATCATGGCCCTGGTTCTAATAAAACTTTATTTACACAAACAGACAGCCAGCAGCTGTAATTTACCAGTTTGGTTCTTATAAAATATAGCAGTAAAATAGTATTTCCTCCATACAGATACAATAGATGTAAATGACTCAAGGACATAGATAATAGTAAAAGACAGTAAAACAGGAAGGGATGAATGTGTTTTACTCTTATTTTAATGTAATGTGTAATTGTAAGATTACAGAATTGAATTTCTAGTAAAGATTGTGTGCAATAACAAGCTCAAAAAATCCCTGAAAATTTAGCGACCAGGAGCCGGTGCCAGCTGGCCACAGCACCGCACTGTTAACCACCTGGTGGGTAGATGTGTGTGGTAGAGCACGGGGTGTGAGGAAGGAAAAGGTGACTCGGAGTCTAAAGGCTAGGCCGCCTCACTTTAATCTGGATTCATCAAGACTCTGTTCCTTTCTCTCTAAATTTCAATCAGCCCAGGACTCCCCCTTCCCAGAAATTGAGACCCACCCAGACTCCACCCAGTCCCTTCCAGCTCCGCCCCTTCCCCGCCGGCGCCGTTGTCATGACAACCGCGTCCACACGACCTTCGGCTTGTGCTGGGAGCCGGTCCTCAGGGCTCCCATTGGCCAAAAGTTCGTGGTGGGCGGGCCCCATCCACTCTCATTGGTCAATTGGGGCAAGCCCGCATGCTCCCATTGGCCGAATGATCGACAGGGCGGGCTCTGGGCAGCGGTTGTGGAGGGGCGCGGGACAGCAGCTCACCACCGGGCAAGGAGAGAGGGGGCGTCCTCGGATATTTCGAAGGGTAAAAGTGAGGGGGGCGTCCTGTGGAAGCAGAAGAGAATGAAGTGAGGGGCAGTGAGAAGGGAGTGGGGTGGACAACGCGTGGGATTCGCAGGATGTCCTTCCCGCAGGGCGATGACCACACCGGCGGGCTCCGGCACTGGCTTCGGCTCCGTGTCCTGGTGGGGCCTGTCACCGGCCCTGGACCTGCAGGCTGAAAGTGAGTCCCACCATGCACGGTCTGATACGTTGGCTGCCTTCACAGACCGCGTAGACGGCCTTTCAGGAATCCCTGACAGGGGGCGCGCCGACGTTCTCGAGGCTTCAACGGCGCAGGGCGCTCCCCGGTGTGCAGTCCCGGTGTCCTATCTGCGGACTGCAAATCCCAGAATGCTTGGAGGCACAGCGCCCTTTGGAACCTAAGCCAGGGGCGCGAGGCCTTCTGGGA